TATGGAGATGGAGCGTTTTCCTGGCTGCTTTCTTTGACAGGTGTTGAGTGGGGCAAAAGTCTTAAAACAGAATTCAGCATGTACGCCAAAGGTAAAGGAGCTGTCGTCCCTTCCGATAGCCAAGCGAGAGAAAAGTAAGTGGATTTTTTTACGCGCTTATATATGTTGGAGTTTACCTGCTTATCATTTTTTTTTGTGTGTGTGTGTGCAGCCGAGGTGGGCAGAAGGAGGGGAGCACAACTTTCTAAACTGTAATTTAAAAGGAGCTCCTGTAACCAAAAAGTGCGCTCCTTCCTCCGTGCCCCCCTCCTCCTCCTCCTCCTCCCTCCTCTGCGACCACCTTAGAGGTGCGTCTCTTAAACTTTTTCATTTATTTTTCTTTTAAATTTTTTAATCTCTCGTTTGCACTTTCTTTCGGATATGTACTGCCTTTTCTTGCAAACCTCCCCTCCTTTTTTTTTTCTCCTTCCCTGCGTTGTTTTATTTTATTTCGCTGATACGTTGCGAATAAATTCGCCGCCGCGTTAAAAAGTTGGAGGAAGACGCGTTATTTTCGGGCGAAAGAAGCGTGTCTCTCCGGGGCTGTTCGTGCTCGTCCCTGCGCGGACAGAGGCGTGCTTGCTCGCTGCTCGTTTAACTTTCTAAAAAATCTGCTGCACGGTTGATTTATTTGTTTTTATTTTTTCTTTTCTTGTGGGCTTAGAAGTAGATATAATTTGTATTTGTGTGCGTAAAGCCGGCTGGTGATGAAGGGAAAAGTTTGGTCCCATTCAGCGAACATACAGCGGTGGTAAACTTTTGCACTCACATGAAGCAGAGTCATGCTGCCACGAACATTTCACTATTTTGCAGTTTATTCTAAAGCAAGAAATAGCAATGCTGAAGGGATTGTGTGGGGAGATCTGTTGGGAGGTGGGGGAAAAAAATTGGCAAAATATTTCTTTCATTTAATTTTTTTCTATGCATTCATTCATGCTTCTTTTTTCCTTAAAAACTTTTAAATGTCCCCCTGTAGAGTGAAGCCTGCTGCTGCTGCTGCTGCTTTGCCCCTTTTATTCATGTGCTGCATGTCTTTGCAAAGAGTTGCACCTTCTTTGCATCCCAACCATTTAGATCAGAGTCTTTTATCATCATTAGCTATTTTTAAGCACCAAACGCAGTCTGGAGGTTAGAGGAGTGAGTAGGGATCCCTGCTGAGACGCAATTGTAATCCAAAAAAACACACTGTCAAGTCCTGAGAGGCTGAGCTTGTTACACAGCACCTCATACATCTGTAATAGAAACCACATTTCTTTAGAGACTCTCTTGCATTTATTTCTTTTTTTTCATTGCATCTCGGTGTCACATTGGATTGATTAAGCTTTCTAGAGATGCTTTCACTGGAGGCTTCCTCGAATACGACTTTTGTCTGAATTCAGCTCGTTGGAACGCTGAGCGGCTCCTTGTGTTTGTGTGTTGAGGTGGAGGAGTGAAAATGAAAACAGTCCCATGTGGTTTCACCAACAGTCGGCAGCCGTGACCTTTGAACCGGCATATGATGCGTTAATATTGCATAGGAACCGTCAGCAGGCTGCTCCTACACCTGTTTGTGCAGCCTCAGCTTCATTTACTTTATTTACAATACACCGAGAGGCAATGTGTCATTTAACTGATGTGTTTTTTTTTTCTTCTTTTTGTTGTTGCTTGTTCAGGGACTGTGGATTATGTTCCATGTGTTATTGGGAGTGAAATCAGTGCAGAGGCAGCATGTATTTCAAATGATGGTGTAGGAGGAGGATTAATAATTTAACTCATAAGAAATACAGGTCTTTGGAGAACTGGAAATGCTGAATGCTTCTGTGTTAAAGGCTGCTTGTTAATAATAATATGGGGGGGAAAAAACCAGAATGGGTTTATTTGAGTGTGTTTGTTTGCATTTCTTTCTACCTTTTATTCATTAGAGCCTCCACGGTGCTCCTTAAACCTTCACTTTAGCTTGTGTGTGTGTGTGTGTGTGTGTGTGTCACAGGCCTATAGGGTCTGTCCACACATAATAGACGACGCTTGCCCTCTCCCCTCACCTGTCTTGTCACCCTAACCTGCCCCGCAGGGCCAACACATGTTTCCTTGTAAATGTGGAGCTCACAACAGCTGCCTCAATGCATCACTGAATTAGCTCATATTCATATTTACATATTCATATGAGTCTTTACATATTCAGATATTGAAAAGAGGGCGCCCCGGATGGACTCGTATCCTATTAAAGCGTACAGTTTGGCACCACAGCTGCAGCTCTTTTTTTTTTCTTGGAGGTCTGATTATCAAGACTGTTAAACTGTAAATTGTGAGGTCTGGTGTGTTCAGGATACAATCGGCTCTAATCAGAACACCTTTGTCTCACTAATGTGTGTTTTTATCTCGCCATTCTTTTAAATTTGGAGTTGGAGTCAACGCGTAAAACTTGTTGAGGAAGAGCAGACACTGACATTGGAAGCAAGAGAAAAATGTAATTAGTCCGCAGCAATGTTTTCCTTGTACAGCTGAAAGCAATCAGACAATACAAGGGTGTGGGCAGGACATGTGAGCTCCACCAGAGCACTGGAGCCACGAGGAAGAACTTGTGGAGGTGAATATTTATTGATAAGTGTATTCTGATTGCTGCTTCCTTGTGTTCCTGCGCTGAGTGTTTTTGCTGCTGTGGGCACATTTTGTCTCATTAAATTCCTGACATATTTTACATATATGCAGATTATTTTAAAAAAAAAGGAGAGGAGCTGCAGCGATTCATTCCTGATTATGTTTTTGTTGGCGAGGTGGTGTCGTTTTGAGTTGTTGGAGCCCACTGTTGATATACTGTAACCCTACTGTTTCAATTAATGCCAAAAAAGGCCAAAAATGTTGGATTATACCCTCTAATTCTGTGAGTTTTTAGGTGTTATTGTGTTTCTTTTTTTCAAAAAAAAAAAAATTCAGCTCCTGGGGTTGCAATCTTCCCCATCACACCTTAGAAAATGGTGTTATATTTCAGGTTTGACTTGTGAGTTTGGTACAGTCGGTGCCTTTTATGCACGTAACCTGGTGTTTACAGGTGTGCTGATCTGATATCAAATGCTTCCTTGTCACGAGTTTGGTTGCTGGCGAGCACGTTTTGATACGCGGTTGATTTAAATTTCTAAAATATTTCACAGTTTTTTATGTGAAGGATAGGAGGCTGCAGACTTTGATTTCTGACGCCACATTAATTTGGGGGGTTTATTTGCAAGGTGGGGTCATTCTGAGTGGTGGTCAGCTGTTAACAGGGATTAAGAAACAATATGTTGAGAATAATTGTAATTAATGCTAAAAAAAGAGGGCAACTCACTAAATTCACTCCAATTCAGTGAGTTTTTTGGCGCTTTTTTCTTTATTATCCCTCCAAGTGTTGCAATCTTTCTTGCTGCACCTTAGAAAATGTTGTTTATTTCACTTGCTGCCATTATTGGTGCAGCCTGGTGTTTACAGGTGTGCACCGGTACACTCTTTTTCCAAACTGCTGCCTTGTGTAGTTTACTGCTGTGAGTTTTTGCTGCTGTGAGCACATTCTGTCAAATTAAATTCCTAAAATATTTCAAATATATGCACATTATTTAAAAAAGGACTGCAGACTTTAATTTGTGATATCACGTTATTTTTTTGGGGGGGTTTGTTAACAAGGTGGTGTCATTTTGAGTTGCTTGAAATATTGAAACCCCCACTGTCAATGAAAAAGGCCTGTAGCGTACAACGTGTGCTCTTAATTCTGTGAGGTTTTAGGTGTTATGCTGTGTCTTTGTATAAATGCTCCTGCTGTTGCCATCCTCCCCATCACACCTTAGGAAGCAGTGTTTAATTTCAGGTTTGACTTGTGAGTTTGGTACAGTTGCTGCCTTTATGCGTGTAACCTGGCGTTTACAGGTGTGCGCTGATACACTCTGAAGCTGGAAAACTTTGTCAGGAAAAGCATCTGCTCTCCTCCAGTACAGTGCTTGTGTTTGTCCTCCTGAATGCCTACAGCTCCATACAGTAGTCTCAGGCTTACTATACAAAATGTTCCAGTATAAAAGCTCATTTGTGTGTTTGAGTGTTCTGGCGACACTGAGCGCAGAGCCATGCGTTTTTTTTATTTTTTATTCCCTTTTAAAGCCTTGAAACCAAGGCTCGAATCCAACCTGTTTGTTCAGAAATACAACATAAAACAAACATTTCACACTTATGTGGATTCCTTCAGCTGCCTGGTCTCGCTGTCTTGAGATCACAGGTAGCAGCAACATGGGGGGAGTGAAGTGTTTTCTTTGCAAATCCTTGTGAAATGTTATTGTGATGAGACATTTTGTAAAGAGAACAAGCTAATAATAATAATAAAGGTAGGGGAAGAACTGTTGCCCTTGCAACCAAAGAAATTAATTACACTCCACACTTTTTTTTTTCCATGGTTTTATTTAATTTAATTAGGATGGGAGTAATGCAGCACCTTCAATATTAATGTCTCCTTATTATTTAGTAACTGGAACCTCTTTGAAATGTGCACTGATGAATCCAGCATCTTAATTAAAGGTGCCATTCACAAAAATATTTAATAGCGTGATCAAACATCTCATTTTTTAAAAGCACGTCCTCACTTTCCAAAAGAATTTTGCTCCCTGCATTTGTTTCTTAATACTCCGTGTTTGTTTACAGACGTTTTTTTCTGTGATCTCAAGTGTTGCTGGATTTGTTTGGGAAAAGAACTTCAAGTGTAAAGTTAATCAGTTTGTTTTGAACGCCGGTTTCTTTACATCCTCTGCTCCTCCCCTGGCTCCTCCCATGTATTTACATGCAGTTTAATGGGGATCTTCAGGTCTGAATGCATGGTTTTGATTCTACACAGATGGCTCTGCCATCTGCATTTTAGCCTTTTGAAGGAAGCATAAAGAGCCGCGCACTAACATAGGCAGAAACATTGCTCTAAAAGTAAAGAAACCCTTGATTTACCCTCAGCACCCTTTGGCTGACTGTGCTTTCATTCAGATATGTCAACAGTCAATTAATGCTGCCTTTCGTCAGCTGCTTTTGGTGCATCCGCACAAATTTGTTAGTTTTCTCACTTGAAATAAAGGAGACAGTATAAATATTGAAGCTACGTGCCTGAAGTTGTTAA